TTCCTGGACTTACCTCTGATGGCTCCTCTTGTGTGCAGGTGCAGGAGAAAAGGGAGTAAAAGTCGAACTCAACAAATCATCAGATCCCAGCTAGTAGGACGACTGCAAACTTCCATTAAGTGCTCTATCCTAAGAAAGTGGCCTACAGAGATCATGTGTGCGACTGAAAAATCTTAATTTACATTAAAAAAACAAAATAGGAGTACAGAAATCAAATATACATTACACTTAATCTGGACAATGAATGTCATAACATTGTACTGAAAGGGATTGTATGCTTTTTATTTCTCCTCTTATTAACAGAGTATGCATCTACAGTGCAGCTGAGCTGACTAAAAACAAAAAAAAGCTTTAGATCCTCATAATTTGTTGATTTCTTAAAGGTACAGTGTTTTGCTTTTCATGTTATTTTCCTCGCATCAAGGGGTTTCATAGAAAAGCTTCATCATGCATGTAAGTTTCTAGTGGCCTACAGAGATCATGTGGACATTAAAAAAAAAAACTAATCTCTGCCAGAACTGCTTTGGTTTTAAATCTGCAGCTTCAGGTTTTAATGGCCTTGTTTTTCTGTCTCGCTCAGTAGCATGAACTGTTTGGAGCTGCAGCGTGTTACAGAGACTTAAATAAACATCATCACAGAGTGGGATGCAGTGAGACCTGCTTTGATCTGCTCAGTACCAAGTAGAGTGCGCCCTCTGCAGGACACTTGTGTACACCACATTTATGTTTGTGCCAATTTTGTTTTTGTTTTTATTTTGGACCTGTGGATGAAAATAAGTCGCTGCTGCCGATCTCTTCAGGTCTCAACTAGGCATGGGCCGGCGTGAGATTCACACGATGTGAAGGAGGCGGCTGAAAATAGCACCGCTTCTCTGTAACAAAACAAAAATACAGTTGTTTTAAAAATAATAGCAATGTGTCTAAAGAAGTGCTTGTTTTCAGACATGGAAATTAATCTGCAGATTTCTTTAAACAGCTAGTCATAAGAACAGAAAATGCTTGAAGATTTAGCTTTGCAATGAGCTGCTGAGCTAATATTTAGCTATGAGTTAATCAACCCGACACCTGTGGACAAGATGATTGGACTACATCACATGATTTGTTTAAATTCAAAGCTGCAGTATGTAACTTTTATAAAAAATGTCAAAACTTTCACCATGTTTGGACAATATAATATAAGACGAATAATATGTGATAAGATAATGTGATTACTACAAAAGTAATCCCTAAAAATTAGACACCAAAAAGTGAAAGTAAAAATGAAAGTATTAGAAATAAGAATGGTCAGAATCTTTATTTTATTTTTATTTTTTGAACAAAAGATATCTGGTTAATTAGGTGTGGTATTTACTCTTAATTGGCTTTTTCTCTAAAAATTATTTAAAAAAAAAAACGCTACATTAATGGGAGGTGCAGAAAGCTGCATTTGTTTGTTTTTATTATTGTAAACAAAAGAGAGTATTTACCCTTTTCAGCCAGCTGATCTGCAGTGCTCAGAAGCAAGTGGTAGTCCACTGTTATGTGCTTCAGATGGAGAAAACACTAGTCACTCCCAAATGTTTCTGCATACTGATGGTCAGCAACAGGTGAGGGAGGGGCAGTGATGCATTACATTTCTCTCTGACATCAAGGATGTTTTGACTTTTAATTAGCTATTTTTAAAGGGGCAGTATTATGTTAAAGACTTTTTGAGCTTTACGCCATGTTATAATGTGTTTCTCCAATAAAAAACATGCCTGGAGTGTTGCCTTGATTCTTTCATGCATGTTTGAGAAATCCTTTAATCTCCATGGCAACCATTCAGTTGTACAAAATGTCTGGGCGGACCTAGCCCTGCCTTCGAGGCGCAGGTCCTCCCCTACTCAGTTCCTTCAGACTATCCAGCAGCAATTGGCAAACATCCAGTGTAACTTCTTCTGAGCTCATTATATGAGCTTCTTCAGTTTAACAAAAAACGTTATTAAAGGGTTAATGGAGGAGCCATGTTGTGATGACGTTCTGAAGGCGGTGCGTCAGAAAGAGCAGGAGTTTTTAAAGAGACAGAGCCCCAATTTCAAGGTCCTACATTTCATCCAAGTCCTGTTTGACATACAGCTCTGGAAAAAAATTGATAGACCACTTCAAAATCATCAGTTTCTCTGCTTTTACTTTTTATAGGTATATGTTTGAGTACAATGAACATTGTTCTTTTATTCTATGAACTTCTGACATGTCTGTGAAATTCCAAGCAAAAATTTTGTATTTACTTGCAGAAATTATGAATTACATGAAGTGATTCCAGACATCAAATAATGCAAAGAAAACAAGTTCATGTTAATTTAGAAACAATACTAATGTTTTAACTTAGGAAGAGTTCAGAAATCATTATTATTGGAATAACCAGGAGGTTTTCAATGGGGTTCAGTGCAGTGGGCTCTTCATTTTTACCAGGGCTGTAGCTGTAGCATTTTTATAAGAACTGGAGGTCGCATAGTTACATAATTATGCTATAAAATGGCACCATGTGCCTGGAAAACACATAATGCTGCCCCTTTAAGGTTTGTGCACGATGCCCATGCCTCGTCTTAGACCGACCGGCTGGTCAAAATGTGTTTTTGTTGGATACAACATGAAGGTTGGAAGGTAGTCTAAAAAAAAGCTAAATCTGCCTCATTAAAACAAAAAAAAAAAACAAAAAAAACTGAAGACACTTGAGAGTTTGCACCTTATCAATAAGGAATTTAGAGCCTGGATGTAGTGAAGAACTAACATCTTTGTGTTTAACTTTCTCAGCAGTTTTGGGTTTCAGCTGGGATGCATTAGTTGCAGCTTTATTTCCTCTGCCGTGTTTCATCCGACATCAGGCAGACACTCAAACTGCAGCTGACCTACATGTCTTCAGTCTTACTTTTAAAAAAAAAAATCATTGAAAAAACAAACATCTTTCCTACAGTATTAACTGTTTATAATGTGTCAAAGTTAACTGGATCAAATTTCCAGGATCTCTATGGATTCTGCATTGCTCTCAGTAATTATTAAAACAATAGTAAAACAAACAGTGTAATAAACATCTTTATTACTACCTCACTCGGTGCATTGCTTCATAAAATGCTTTTTTTTTAATGTACCTGTTTAGTCGTCTGGTTCCAGTTTGTTCTTGATCATTTCCAGAGCATTTCAAGACAATCTTTACATTTTGAGAGTTAATATTTGATCGTTAAGCTGAAGTCTTAACAATCAGGGAACATTATTATGTATGTTGTGCTTTTTAGAGAGCTGCCATCTTTGAAAAGCTCCTCAATAAAAGGAGAGGAATCCGAAACATGTCTGGCCTGCCGGTCTTTCTCTTCTGCCACTCAACAAAAACTTTATCTAAATGTTGTGAGTTTTGTTTTCAGTTTTTAACTTGAATATCTTTTTAAAGGTTCATTAGCTGCATGGAAATAAAAGTTTATCATTTCTAGGGTTTTTCCCTCTTGAATAATTTGTGCAGGAAATTAAATTCAGCTTTTATCTTTATGAATACTCATTCAAAACATCCAGCCGTTAATTAGAATTAATTTCATTAGATTTCCAGCCAACACATTATGGGACTCAAATTATATTCTTATTTATAAATTGTGTTCTGGAACATTAACTGGCTTTTTATTACTCTCCAACTATTGAGAAAAAAAACTGACTGCAGAGAAGTTTAAATTTTCAGATTTTTATTCCTTTTTAAAAACAAAGTGATTCTTTTATTGATTTCCATAATTTATACCTTTCTATTTTTAAATTGCTATATCCCTCCCACTTTGTTTTGTGCCAAAGTTATTGATCAGTTTGGATTTAGAGGGGTTTTAAGTTTTTTTTTTTATTATTTATGAAATGTATGCATAATATGCAACCATCTGATTTTTTTTTTTAAATCGATAGCTTAAAGAGTGACAAGACCATAAATGAAATGTTCCCTTATTTAATGAAAAAATAAATTAACAATGTCCCATTTTCTAGACCCATGTGTTTTAAAATTGGGTATGGAAAATGGTAAAAAATTAAAGGAAACAGAATTAAAATAAACTGTTGAACTTATGTCTATTGTAGAATAATTTAGGTCTAAAAAACAAATCTGGCACAAATCTTAAAGCAGAGCTGGTTTAACTTGAAAATTAAAAAAAAAATTTTAAATTAAAAAATCCAGTCCAAATTGGTACTTTTTGCTTTTGCACAGATGTCTGAAAATATTTAAGTAGAAATATGTAGGAACCCTGGATTCTAAGAAAAACATAATCATATTTTATTTTAAATTCACTTTTAGTTTTAAAACAAAGATTTTAAAGAACAATGAGTTGCCACACCAATAGGGGGCGCTGCTGTGCAAGTTGTTGGTCTCGCCTTGGAAAACCACAGCCGTTAAATATTAAAATTAAAACATTTCTACAGTATTTAAACTTGTTTTTAATATGAATTAAAGGAATCTTAATTATAAACATCCGTATGAAAACAAAAACATTCACATAGTACATTAAAATATTACAGTACAGCTTACAAAGGTTAGGAAATATATTAAGATGTAATCAACATGGCCTAAATAATGAAAGAGTTTTAAGAACAGATTATAATCTGTACAAGGAGTGTGCAAAAGTACTTTCCCACTTCTGGGCTTTTATATACTGGCAATGAGAAGAGTCTGTCGTTTCCTCCAGCTCCTGAAGAACCTTGTGCCTCGGTCAGTAACAGACTGTGCAAAAATATACAGACAAGTCCTTGAACGCCCCTCAGTAATGGCTGAGCTCCTCCGGCGGGCGGGAGAAGTTGTAGCTGTCCTCGCTGCCGATGTAGGCGCTGATGCCGCTGTTCTGGCTTCCCCACTCGTAGCTGTCCGCAGCCAGGCTGGACAGTGTGAAAGACGACATCCGTTAACATCGATCATCCCTGCAGAACTTCCTGAACGGCAGGAAATGAGAGGATTGTACCTGGCCTGGATGTTCTGAGGCATGACGCTCCACGCAAGGTCGTCGTCGCTGTCGTAGCGTCTCGGGTTGTCGAAGAAGTAAGCTCTAGACGAGAAGACGTGGCCAGGGAGGCCGGAGCTGCTCTGCAGGAGACGAAGACAGACGACAAGATGGCGGTAACTAACCACAGTTTACTAATGCGTAAAGAAACATCAACTTTTAGCATGTTTTTTATTCATTACTCAGTATTAATATTTATTTAGCAATAATGCTGCTTCATCGCTTTGGATTTTAGATGTCCATGAGTTCTGTAACAATTTTTCATCACAGTTCCCTCTTTTGATTATAAGAAATGTGTAATATTTTCTTATATGTGTAACATCACATTAGATTTTATTTTATTCCCATGGTTCTTATGGGTTTTTTATTCCCATGGTTCTTATGGGTTTTTTGTTTTTTTTTGCAAAAAATGTAAACATTTCTGACAGAACAGAAATGTTTACATTTTTTGCTCCAGGAGCAAAGAAAAACACTAAAACCACGGCATTAAGAAAAATCAGAACAAACTTTCACATATTTAACCTTTTTTTCTATCCCTTATGGTGGCTCATAGCACGCTAGAAAGTATGGAGCTGAAACTAACGATTATTTTAGTTATTGAGTAATCTGTTAAATTGAAGATTAATCGGTAAGGATAAATAATAGCAGGCATATTCTGCAGATTTATCATTTAAACCTTTTTTTACAATATTAAAATATGTTAAAGATTCATTTTGTGTACGCTTGATTAATTCATAGCAACAAAAATGAATCTGCAGCTAAAGAAATACTGCAAACAAGCATGTTTAGCATCAGTACAGTTTAGGGCTGATATTTTTTTGGGATTAACAGATTATAATTGAATAACAAAAGGTGCATAAAAGGAGATCTTTTTTTCTTCAGAATTTGAAATAGGTGATGCTAAAACTATGCCCATAAATATAATCTATAAAATAATCTTAAATAGCACAGTTTTTAATCTTAAATGCAAGATATATATAGTTTTTGTACAGTTTTGCTGCTCTGACAAATGCCGCTTTTTCAGTCTGTATCCAATTAACAATTATACAATAATTAAATTAGTTGACGACTATTTCAATAATCGATTAATTTAATTAATAGTTTCAACGTGTTGTGGAGGCCTCACCCTGTCCAAGTTGGGTTTCCGAACCCTGAAGAAATACACAACAAGGGAAGTCGGTAGCAGCTCCCAAATAAACAAAATCACTCCGAAGACGACGTAGCCGGTGTCGCCTAGAGTTGACTGTAGATCTGCCTGAATAAAAAACAAACAAAAAAAAGACGTTACAAACAGCAAAACAGATCCATCCATCGAATATGAAAACTTATCTACGACGACGTAGTAGGCCCATTTAGATACATTTTTCTAGAAACATGGAAATTTCTGACATTGAAAAGTCAAATTTACTTGGGAAAAAAAAATAATTTTTAGATAAATCACATGAATTTGATTTATCTATTCTGAGTTTAAAGTCACAAAATTTGTAGAAAAGAAGCAAAAAATTCTGAGATTTTTGGCTGAAATTTACTCCTGTGTTCTTTTTCTATCGCCAACAAACCGAACCTGCTTTTCCCTCAACGACTTGTGGGTGATTTTTAACTTTTATGCAATGTGGGGATTTTAGGGGATTCTTTTGGTTTATATTTGTTTTCTTTTTAACTTTCAATATCAAGCAGGGGTTTCTTTTTAAACAGGGGAATAAAAAGAAGAGGAAGGCAATTTTCAACGCCTGTCTGAAAATGACTAATTACTTCCTGCCATATCTGAATAATCTTTATCTAGTGTTGCTAAATTACAATCATTTAGCAACGCTTGTAATTCCCAATAAAAACACAATCTTCTCCAGTTTTAGTTGTTTAATCTTCAATCTTTATTGTTTAAGATCTTCATGAGACCCCCAAAAAATCTAGTTATTCAAAGTAAACAAACAGAATCATTGTTTGTGCCAACATCCTGAACTTTTACTTTGAAACCCTCCCGGCGAGGTGATTTACCTGGTCCGACACGTTGTACCAGTCGTAGTCAAACGAGTTGATGCTTTTGTTTGACAGCGCCAGGACGACCAGGTTGTAACAGGCCCTGGACGCGTACAGCAGGATGACGATGGCTCCTATAACTGTCACCTGGCACACCGACGTCCCCTGCACAACGTCAGAGCAACAGCCCGGAGTTTAAGACGAGGTAAAAACAAAACGACTCAAGCTAGGAGAAACAGCCATGAACAGCGAGCTGCAAAAACATAAATATTTCTGCATATTTTGTCACATCACAACCACTAATTTTAGCCTATTTTTATTGGATTTTATGTGACAGATGAACACAAGATGGTGCATATTTCTGAAATGGAAGTAGAATTATGGTTAATTAAAAAAATAGTAATCAATATTCTGCCGATTCTGGATAAAAACCACCAAAACAAATGTGCAAATCTGGCGCTTGAGAGAGAAATGGCTCGCAGTGTTTTATTTAAAATAAACGAAAAATCTGACGTCACTATCTTTATTTACATTTGAACTCATGTCTTCTTCAGAGGTTTTCTTCTCATTTCCTTCAGTGTTTCTTGGTGCAGCGCCCCCACAGGCGAGGAGGTAAAAAATGTTTTGCAAAGAGCTTAGTCTGTTTGAGGCAGACTAAGCTACGGGATCATTAGGTGTGAAAAAAGCTTTTAAAACCCCCAAACAGCTGAATTTATACAGAGATTAAATAACATGCAAGTTGACTTCGTTAATATTTTGTTGCATTGTTGTTATTTTCATCCCAATTTACCTTCTACATTATTCTATCTATTGCATGAAAGCCATCAAAATTCACATCTGTAACTAACAAAGCGTGAAAAAGTTCACAGGTTGAATGCTGTAAGATCTCAAAGCCAAACAAGAACAAGAGAAAATTATTTCCTTCACATTCACAGTTCAGTCTCACCTTGGATTCCAGGTAGATGTTGGCCAGGGACATCTTGGCGATCTTGTAAAGACACAAAGAGAGCGAGACGGCGCACAGGACGAAGAGCGTGTCGTTGATGGCGACTCTCACGAGCACAACGGTGTGAGCTTCTGCAGAGGACATTCTCACCAGCAGGGCACACGCTAAATTCACGACTAAAAACACCAGGCTGATGAACAGGAAAAGGAGGTAGAGGGGCAGCCTGGCAGGAAAAAAGACCACAGACATTTTTATTATTCAGCCGCTACAAACTGCAGCAGGGGAAATGAGCGGAAAAGGCCTGCTCTCACCTGTACCTCTGGAGCTCTGGGGCGTATTTGGACTTTGCCTTAAAAACAACCTATAAAAAAACCCCCCCCAAAAAAAAAAACATTTAATCATGCAAATATGTCAGTTTCACTTCTCCATTCCAGTTAACCAGGAACCTCGTGGTTGAAAATGGTTGCGTTTTAAGTTCATGGTGCAAAACAGTTACTTAGCCCAGGGCTCGCTGGAAACTCAAATGTGGCTCGTATCAACACAAGAGGATTACGCTAAAAATAAGCCTGAGGCAGAGGCTGGAGAAGGCAGCGGTTCATATGTGGATTGCGTAAGCAGTTGAAGACATGATTCATTTCATTTCGGTGCAGATTCTGAATGCGAGCCTCCCACACTGAAGGCAGTAATAACTGGACTCCTTCCTCTCGAGTCACATGAATGATGGACGGTGCCAAATCGAGCACAAGCAGGTTTCGCAGCGTTTGTTTATGCGAGTGTTACCTGCGCTCAGTGTTGATGCTTTATGCACGTCCACATCCTGAGCTAAGTGAAACCGTGAAACTGCAGCGTTACTTTCACAGGCGTCTTTCTAGATGTATTTATTTCCTCTTTGCAGATTTTTTTAGTCTTCTGATTTGTTTTTTTTTCACTGACTAATTTTAATCTGAGAAAACACATTTATTTGTTAAATCATGTGAGAAAGTCATAGCTATCCCAGCTGAATCATGAGTTTACTTTGACTATATATTTTTGGTTAACTGAGTTTTATCACTGCAAAAACACAAAATCTTACCAAGGATTTAAGTTCAGTTTCTGGTGCAAATATATTAGAATATTTGAAACATTATAACAAGATATATGATCTTATTTTAAGTATATATTTCCTTAATATTGATGAAAATGAACTAGTTCCATTAGCAGATTATTGCACTGAAATAATCTGCTAGAGGACATAGTTAATTTTTAACAATATCAAATGAATTATTTACTTAAAACAAGCCACTATTAATTATATATTTAAATTAAATTGATCACAAGAAGTCAAACTAAGTTTAAGATGAAAAAACATAAAGTAAGTCTGACCAACTTCATTTAATTAATTATGACCAATTAACACAATTTATTTAAGTTGTAGTTGCATTTTCTCTCTTCAGCTTAGCTATGAAACTATGAAGATTATTCTTTGGACTTTTACAAAAGTAAACTTGCAGATTCCTTTAAATCTTGAATGTTAATATATTTTAAAAAAATCTTTATTTTAACATTTAAATCAAATTTGAAAGCATTCTAATTCTCAATAAGCACATTTTTACATTCTAGATCTAGAAATTCAAGCATTTATATGAGGGCCCCTGTAGATCTGGGGACCTAAGCAGCTGCTTGGTTCGCTCATGCCGTGGGCCAGCTCTTAATCATTTTTCTACCCAATAAAGATGAAAGTTATAATTGGGCCCAGCATGTTTGTATTGATGTTTTTTCAAAGTGGTTTGCATATAAAAGCTGTTTTCTCCTCACAGTCTCAACAAGATGCAGCTTCTCTCTTTATGACGGCTTGTTTTAACTTTTCCCCTCTGTAGTTGGAAGCAGTGATAGCGATGTTGCATGCTGGTCTGCAGATGCATGCATGGTGTTAACTTCGTCTGCCGGGTGATGCAGCAGTTCTGCAGGAAACGTTGCTGGGATCGCCATCTTAATGAAACGACTCAACCTGACCAACCTGGACCAAAATCATCACTGAAGACCTTTAATAATTACATCTAGGCATTCCAGTGTAGCTCCATTTCTATGCAGTATCGTCACATGCAACTCAAACGTAACGTTTTTCTGCAGCAGAACATAATGCTAATAAACACCCACAAAGGAGGAATTGGATTAAAAGGATGCGAAGAAACAGAAAACCACTGAAGAAACATGAAATAATTAAATGTGTGTGAGTGGAAAGATTTTTGTTTTTTGAAAACATTTTACCCTAATTAAATAACGAATTACAACAACAACAAAAAAAAAAGAACAAGTATTAAAACCAACCATGGCATCTTGTTCTACATCTAAACTGAGTTTAATCGATTTTATTGGAATGTCTGGCTTGTGTCTTTAATATATGAATAATTCAAAGGTTGTCAGGAGACTTAAATGACATATGCTGCACAGCTAAATCAGTTATTTATTGCTCAAGATGCAAAATGTCATTTCAGCTGCTAGTTCACATGAAGACAAATATTCCCTTAAGCTACGACATGAAAAGACTTGTATTGAATGTCTTTAAATGTCAAGTTGTCCCATCTAAACAAAAGGAGTTCCTATCAACACCTGCAGACTATATTCCTTTGGTTTTGTTAGACAGAACCTGGGATCAGGTTCCCCTTATTTCACATCTGCAGAGGTTCTGGACTTGACCTTTTGTTACAAAGTCTACTTCAAATTTTTACAAGTTTTTCCACCCCTTGAACTACAAGCTTCAATGATTGTTACTGACATGATGGATCAAAACAAAGTAGCACATGGCGGTGAAGTGAAAGCAAAGGACACATGGCTTTCACAATGTTTGACAAGTCAAATATGAAAATGTGGCATGTTTTCGTCTCCAGCCCTCTTTGACACTCCTAATCAAAATCCACCTGCCAAGGTGAGGAAAGGAGAGCATTCAACTGAAAAGCAGCAGCAGAGGTGTCACTAAGCAATTAATCGCATGATAAAACGAGCTCGATAATTTCCATGCTGATGATTAGCATTTTTTTTTTTTTAACAGAGACTTCATAATCCGTTTTATTTATTGTTTCTGGTTGTTTGGCTATTTAAAATGCCTTCTAGTTCCACTGTGGAGTGTTTATTATTAGTCTTTGATGGGGGGAAACTCACATTATTATCATTTATCGTAATAATTTCTGGGACAATTTATCATCCAGTAACATTTATTATTTTGATAGGTCTGGACGTAACTCTGGAGGAGCTGTAGAGATCCATATTAATAGCCGAAAATTACGTAAAAAGTTCAGATTGTGATCTGATCAGTGAAGGAGAAACAGAAAACCGGAAGGTATTCTGGTCAGATGAGAGTAAAATCTGAACAAACCACTGTAGAACATGGTTATACTTCCATGGTGGTGGCAGTATAATGCTGTGAAGACACGCTGGTCAGAGATGACAGAAGTAAGGTTGGGCGATATGGACTAAAAGTTTTATCACAAAACTTTATGGTGCTTTTTTGATAGCAATAAAAGTGACAATAAAACCTACTACTTTTTTTAGGTAACTGTGCAGCTGTGACCATGTGACGCAGCAATCATGACCTCATAAACACAAATACTGCTCTAGAAAAACACATCTATAATGAGCTTCTTTAGGACACCAGTCACATAAAGAAGCTTGATTTATATCTCTAAACTAATAATAAATATATTAAATGTAACATTTAACATATTAAAACATAATAAATAGGTTAAATTGAAATGTATATTAAAATATAATAAATTAATTCACAATTAATACTAAATGTTATATTTTCAAATTTACTGGTATTTATTGATGCTCTTACTAAACAAACATTGGAGAAACTAGTAAAAACGAGAATCCTGATAATACAGATAGTTATGGAATGCAATTTGTCACAACCGCGATAAATCTAAATTCTTACGATACAAAATTTATAGTGATGAATGATAAACGTCAAATGCCCATCCCCTAATGAGAAGATGGCTGGAGATGGAAGAAAATGGACTTTAAAAGACCAAACGTTTCAAGTTTTAGGGGAAATTTTCACGGGGAGTGGATACTTATCAAGACCGTACATCACGACTCAAGAACGGATCCTACCTACATGTCCTGCAGAGGCATTAATCGGGTCTCATCCTACTTACTCACCTGTGCAAAGTAAAGATTCATGAGGCTGAGTGTGAAGAACTGCAGGCAGACGGGGAAGCAGTAGAGCAGCCAAAAGGGAAAGGGACCCAGAGTGTTGGCCGTGACAAAGTTCCTGAAGTAGAAGGAAAAGAGCACGGTGCGCAGGGCCGACCACAGCAGGCACAGGAACAGGAACACAGTCTGGTAGCTGAAGCGCTTGTGTCGGTACCGCAGAACCAGCCAGAGCTGCACGTAGATGAAGATGAAGAGGAGCGAGTAGAAGACGGTGTATACCACCGTCAGACCCAGAGTCACAAAGGGGGGCACGGCCGGGCTCAGGGTGGGCAGAGGCAGGGGCTCCTTTTCCTCCGCCGGGGCCTCCATGATCAGCTCTCTCTTGCTCTCTGGAGGGGAGATGGAGCTGTTCGCAGCAGAGCCCTGCCTCTCAGGCTCCCAGGCCCGAGGCGAGGCGCGGCGAAGAGGCGCAGTTAAACCACGGAGAACCAGGAAGACGGTAAGGCGGCTGTCAGAAACTCAGCGGGGAAGGAAACCGGCCAACTTCCTGCAGAGGATCCAGATGCAGCCAGAGAAACAGAGGCACATGACCCGAGATGATGAGCAGGACTGCGGCGGGTTTCCAGGACCAGTCCCCACCCCCTCCTCAGCCAGGGAGCGCATTACGTGACGTTACGCATCAGCTGACGCACGCTACTGTACCTTTAACCCTGTGATGGCTCTTCCCACCGCAGCTTTGATCCCGGGAGGGCAGATCAGGGCTCCTTTATGTATTTACTCTCGTTTTACAACCCTGCATGAAAACCAGGCTGATTCATTCAGTACATGTGTTAAATAAAACAAATATATGGACAACAGTAAGGCTTTACACTAAACAAAAAAAAAAAAAAAAACTATTAAAATTTAAACAATAAAATCAAATCCGTGCATCCATTTTTATGCAATTTATGTGGGTAGGTATAGTCCTAAATGGAAATTTTGTAACAGCTAATAATGCATTTCCTAAACAAAACAGTTACCTTCTAGCCCATTACGCTCGCTTTGCAGACAGTCTGGACTTTCTCCCATTCACTTTGATTCACTCCGATAGATTTTCTGATTTCTAATCAGTGAACAGAAGGAGAAGTTGTGGATGATGACGTCGTTTTCTGTTGTTTTAGCAATGGCAGCGGAGGCAGTGATGGTAGCCGTTCAATCCGTGTTGAACAGCTTCCAAATATTGGATTAACATTAGCAGCCATCCTGTTTGGCTCGGTATGTCTCCTTTGGCAGTGGAGGATGGTTGTTTACAACGCAGGCAATTTTCCATGATTTTAAGATGCAGAATAGTATTTAAATGTTCCATATTACTTTAATTATTTGAAAGTAACATCAGCTGACAAACACTAAATTTACAGTAAACAAGTTTGATTCCTTTTATTTCATGCTAACAGCAGGAAAAGGTTAAGCTATTATTTACATATATGTATACTTATCTTATGCATGTAAAATCATTAAAATGTGGTGTAAATATTGATGCTACTATATGTTCATACTTTTATTTTTCACATTTTCTTATTTTTTTGGTCTTTTTTCATGTCGGTGTACTGCTGCTGGAAACTGAATATGCTGGAGGAACCTTCCCATAAAGTTTAATCTAAGATTTATTTATTTTATTTTCATTCATCACAATGTCTACATCACTCTTTGTGACATGTTAGCGTTTTGGCCACTAAAAGTATCTAGGATTATTAAAATCGTGGGGAACGTTTAGAACCAGATCAATAAACAAATGATCAAAACCCAACAATGAACAAAGCAGAAGAGAAGGGAAGAGAAGAAGATAGATTTATCAGTTTTTGATCCACCAGTGAGTGAATTATTGATTGTAGTGTAGACTGCTTTGGAGTCCTCAGACTTGATAAACAATCGATTTTCCCACTTATCTAGTAATCTGAAACGACATGAAGAAGAAACACGAGAAGATTCAGAAATCCACAATATGGGGGAAGTGGCAACAGCAGATTCCAAGAGCGAGTGCTGTGACCTCTTTCCAGAAGGTCGCAGTTCTACGAACAGCTAAGATGTGTATGTTTGTCATCATCAGGTGCTGTTTGCACAATAAAAGTGTGAAAGGAAGTTTTCTAAAACAATAATGTTACTAAATGTGCAAACAATCCAGCAAATATGCGGTGCCATTTGTAAAATTACACAGTAAAACATGAACAGCAATAATTACACTTATTTAGCCTGTAATACACAAGAAATGTATGTGTTCAAATGTATATCTAACACATTTACACCATGTCAAGAGTTACAAATGAAATATTTATTTCCCCAATTAAATATTTAGTTTTCACAGTAAATATTTAGTTTGGAAGCTAAATATTCAGTTAATTTCAATCTAAATAGTTGGTTCTCAAATGAGTATTTATCTAAATAGTTTGCTTAAAAACTATTTAGTTTAGTCTATAAACTAAATATTTAGCTGGTGAATTAAATATTTATGTAACTCTGACATTTATAAATTTATGACTAATATGGTGAAAATATGACCCAAATTTTTTCTTTAAGACAAGCTAAATAAACCAAATTGTTCAAATTAATTTTTGCTGTGTAACTTTACAATTTTTTATTCCATAAGAAAGGACAATAATAAAAGTTATTATTATGATGGGTTTTACTAGAAGTGGGACCTCAAAGAAAATTCAACTTATAGAATTTGTGTCAAAGTTAAAATGTTTAAGGTCACAGTTTTTCTTCAACTCTGTCCAAGATTGTGTCATATTTGTTTTCCAGTGAAAATAGGAAGTGTGATGTTATCAGAATTGTTTTTTTTTTCAGTCCCACAGAGAACTGAAAGAACATTTTGGGTCACATTGACTGATTTCGATGTGTAACTTTGATGGGTTTCCCCTTTCATTCCGGCAACAAAACGGCAGCTTATCTCATGTGTGCACAACTCCCCAGCTTTTTGTTTTGCTTTTTAGCAGCAGGGTCTTTGTGCTACGTGACCAGGCATGAGAACACAAGGAAATCTAAAGATGGAGTTCACTCCAGCTCACCTTTAACTTTCCTAGTGGATTAATTTGCCACAGATGCCCCACCAAACAGGATGCTGTCAGCTGCAGTGCAAACCTCTTGGCTAGGTTTTAGATTTAAAACAGTGTCTGCAGTATTTAGAAATGAATGCACACACTCTTTGGTTTTTATTGAGTTTTCCACAGTTGGGCTCTGGCCCTTTAAATCACCCACATCATTGCTTCTGCAAAAAATAATCCAGTTTCCATTTAAGGGCACATCAGACAACAGCCTGCTGGTTCCCAGGCAACACAGTGACGACCACTGATGACATCACCATATGTATTTTAACATATAAACGTTGTGAATGCCACCAGTTTCAAACTGGTGTGTTGTTGCTGTTTATTTTTGGCTACACCGGTAGATACCACTCAGCTTTCTTCATTTAAAAACAAGAATGAGGTGCATAAGTTTGAAAATATCATTTCTGCTCCACGAAGGCTCAAAATTATGCACACAGGCTGAAATTTACAAAAATACACAGAAAATTTGGATAAATTGCTGTTGGCAAGTTGGAGAGAAACTACACTCTGTTTTACTCTTGTAGATTTAATTTCTCTTCTTGGCAGAATTAGTGGAAATCAAGCAAAGGAAAGAGCTTGAAGATTGATTTATATTTTGTTTATTCTGATTTTTTTTTGTCTTTTCATTCAGTTGTTTTGTTTCTTGCAAAAGGTCTGAAATTATTCTATTTATTTTATTTAAGTTCGTTTATTTACAAGGACAGAACATGTTCGAAATTATGGTCCAATTATTTTAAAT